GGTTGTTTATCATTCATCTCATTTATTATTGGTATTTCATATTCTAATCTTCATTAAAACACTCTATTGGTATTGTTTTATTTTGTTTTAATTCTTCAACACATTTACATTTATAAAAACAACCAATTCCAAATGATGTAAATGATGATAGTATATTAATTGATGTTAATGATGAACATTCATAAAAACAATAACATCATATTATTTGAAATTCATGTTGTATGTTATTCAATATGTACTTATATCATATTATGTGTATTTTATATTTTTACATATATTTCATTCTTCTTTCTCTTTTAAATATGTTGAATAACTAATATCATACCATATTACATATTTAAATATTCTTCCATCTTTAAATATTTCATCATATTTATTATAAATATGAAATGTTTCAATGTTATAAAATAACATTCTTGAATATTATTTAAATGAATTGGATTAAAATGAAGTCATTCAATATTTCATTGAAATCTTTTAATTCCAATTTCTAAATTAATAAAATCTTTAATATCATCAAAATACATTGGTATTATATTATTTCATTGTATCCTATTTTCATTCTTGATTTATTATTTATTAGTTTGTTGATGTTGTTGTATGTTCCATTCTTGTTTTAAAGTTGAAATAGTTTTAAGATATGAATCTTGAGTATTTTAATTAAATAATACTCAAAATAGTTTATTTTATTAAAAATTAAACTATTATCAAAACTATATTTATTATAGTATTTTACTATTGTTTATTACTATTTCTTTTTATTTTTATGTATTTTTAGATCAGAATATTATTTTTCTTTATCTTTAATGAAATTCAATTCATAAGAAGATAGAAAGAGAATCAATCATCATTAATACTAATGATTTCAATTATAATTTGTACAATGATGGAATATGAGTTATGATAATTTATTAACTTATATCATCATTACATAATAACAATACAATCAATTCACTAACAAATGAACAAATGATGTATAGAGTAATTCAATAATATTAAATACACATTATATTGATTATTTAATATAAAGAGAAACACTTCAATGATGAATTTAAGAATAATGAATAATAAAAGAAAAGAAGTATTGTATTAAATACAAGTGAATGAAATGATAAACAGAAATACTAGAAAACTCATAACTACTATTAATATAAGAAAATACTAACTAGAATAATAAATAATGAATATAAGAATGAAAGAGTTGAATAAACAAAGAATAACAAAGTATAATAAACAAAAAGAATATTTAATACAAATTGTTTAATTAATCAATACAAATCAAATATAATCAAATATAAATCAATTGAATGATATTTATATTTAATTTGATAAAAGAAGAAATCAAATAAAAACAAAATGAAATAATGATTAATATTTAAATGAATTGATAAATCATCAATCATTTTTGATATTGACCATCTTTTTGATGAGATATGATTCTAAGAAATTGTAATGATAAAATATAACCAATTATGTATTTGAGAAATAATTGATAAATGATTTCATTTAGTAACAAATCAACAATAAACAATGGATATTTAAAAAGAATTTTATCATAATTCAATTTCATAAATTCATACATTTGAATTAAAAATGAATAACTATCAGCAAGATATTTGTAATGTTTTTTTTTTATCTAATACTTCAGCTCCATATAAGCAGGGGTTCCAATACATTTAGTAAAATTTATATTAGTCATCAACTGATTATATTTCTTGAAGAAGGAAATTTAATTAATTTACAATTAACAAGAACATTTTCATTAAGAAGTAACTAAAAATTATCAGATTTAATATCTCGATGTAATATATTATTTTCATGAAGATATCAGAAAATTAATTTTTAATTTAAAAAGATAATCATTTGGATATTTATTGATTAAGTCTTAAACACTGTCATAATGACAAAATTCATTTACCATACAAATTTTTTTGGAACAAAAACGAACAAGATATCCATTTCTAAATATATCATTGTTTCTTCTTTATCTTTTCCTTTTTATTTTTCTTGACTTTATTTCACTTTGTTTCATTTTTATTAATACTATTTTCATCTAAATGTTTATTTATAAATAACTCTAAATGTTCATTCTCCATGTTCTTCTTTTAATTCGTCGTAGTCTAAATGAATAGTACTTGGTATTATTTTAATTGTCTTTTTCTTTATTAATATGAATGTATGTTTTCGACAATTACTTTATTTAATTTGATTTTATATTTTGTTGAATTAAGAGTGTTTTGAATGATTTTCAAATAATTTCTTGATTCTCTTATTAACCGTTCGTATAATTGTGATATTTAAATTAACAAATAACAGATGAAATCAAATGAATGCTAAAGATAAATTGATACCAAATTTATCGTTTTTATTCATACTGTATTATTTTGGTCATTATAAATAAACCATTTGATATTATTTAACGATGAAATTATCGTAATAAATCTTATCATTTTAATGAATTATTTATTTTATTCAATTTATATATTCTCTTTTACATTTGATTCATTACTCTTTATCATTTCATTAATTGGTCGTTCTCTGGATTCATTTTATTTCTAATATTTTATTTGAAGTTTATGATTATTCATCAAAATCACTACTTCTGTATCTTCATTTTAAATTGTCTTGATGTAATTTTGTAATGCCATCATTTATATTATTTGTCTCTCTTTATTATTTGTACTATTTCATTTTCATTTCTTGAATTAATTTATAATTAAACATTCATTTTGTTTTATCAGTGAGTAGTCAATAAATGTTATTTCTTTTATTTACTTCATTTTATTTCTATTTTTGTTCGTTCTTGTTGTTCATAATATTACACTTTTGTTCTTAATCATTTACTCACTTTGAATACAATTTTCTTATCCTTCAAACTCCATCATGAAAACATTTCTTATTTGATATTTTATGTTTATCAGTCCATCAGTTGTAATTATTCTTGTTAATTTATATCTCTCAGCTTTTGCTTATTGATCAATTGAGATATTTTAATAGTTAATTCAATTAATATTCATATTTGTGTTACACTTTCTGTTGAATATTAACCAACTGTCACTATTCATATTTTATATAATCATTATAACATCTTGTTAATACTCTTATTATTTTAATACCTTCATTCATTTTAATTATTTTTCTATCAATAATCACTTTATTTGTTAACATAATCTTTGTTTCTTTAATTCTTTCATTTCTCCTTTTTCTGTTCTTTCATACAATTTCGCTTCTCATAATTTCTTTGAATCTATTCCAAATATCTTCTTTATTCTTTTTGTTTAATTTTTGAATAAAAATATGAGAGGTTAATTAAAAACGAATATAATCAACAACACAAAAATAATGTAAGAATGAAAGAATGTGTTGGTAAAATAATAATATTAAGAAAATTTAGTACCCAATTATATTTAAATCAATTAACTTTCATTAATATATTAAATATAATGGATATGGTTGTGAATAATATTATTTCATTTACAGAAACAAAACATTAGAATAATAAAAGATGAAATAAAACCACATTTAAATGGTTTAATCAATGAGTTAAATCCATTTAATCTGATTTTTGATAAAATAATAATATTTTTCATCTAACTTTAATACGTATTGTTTAAGAGTGATTTGTATTTATTATTTTCTTCATTATTCATTCTGTTTCAAATTGTATTATTTCTTTAATAAGTTATTGGAGTGTATTTATTTTATTACAGAAATGTTTTTGTAAAACCATTAATATATTACAAGTAAGTTATATAATGAATAAAACAAAGATTATCTATAGAAAGATAATGATAATAATAAGAAGATTAAAAATACAATAACTATTACCAATAAAATGAACAATGTAAATAATATTATTGTTGTTTTTGTAAATAAAAAAAGATAATACACTAAAGCATATTGATTTGTCATATGAATGATATCACTTCTATTAACTTAGTGATGAATAAAAAGCAGTATCATTTATAAATTTTCTTCATATAAAATCAAACAAAAGAATAAAAATATTTTTGTTTAATATTTTCATTAAATCATTTACGTCAATAAAATACATAAGTGTTATCTAATTAAGTCGATAAAAATAAACATGTTTCCTTTCGATAAAAATAGAACGGAAATGAACAAGTTGGTGGTGTTGTAAAATTAGCTATTTTATTAAATGTTATTTTGTTGTTTACACTATGATGTTCCAAAATTATTCGATACAAAATTAGTTTAAAAATAAATCTAGGGGGTATGTTAGTTTTATCTTTTTTTAAAGTATAACAAGGACATATTTATTTTTACATCAAGTGATCAATAAAAATGACAAACATCATTTATAAAAAGTTTTTTCAATATCAACGAAGGTATAATATATAAAGGAGTTAAATTTAACTAAAAAATATATAATGAGTATATCAGAACGTAAAACAACTAAATTACTTTTGATTGGAGGAACAGGTGATGGTAAAAGTTCACTTGGTAATTTTATTTTGAAGAAGAATGCCTTCAAAGTCAACGACACTCCAAATTCAATAACACAAAAAACTGAAGGGTCGTATGGAGAAGATGATAGAAATGATATATTTGTTATTGATACCCCTGGTCTTCAAGACTCTGGAGAAATGGATGAAAACCAATTAAACCAAATGGTGAATTACATTAAAGAACAAAAAGGATTAGAAGCGATAGCTTTAGTTTTAAATTTTAATAGTGTTCAATTTTTAAATAATATTGAAGCACTGATTAAGAAGTTGTACAAAGCATTCCCAACTAAAGATTTCTGGAGACATGTCTGCATTGTATGGGCTAAGTGCTTTTATTATACTTCTGAAAAAACACTAGAAAAACAAATAAATATAAAAAAAGAAAAATATCAGGAACAACTAAAGAGACTTGTTAAAGAAACAACAGGAAAAGAAGAAGGTATTTCTTTCCCGATGTTTTTTGTTGACTCTCAACCTGATGAAGGGGAAGATAATGGAAGATCTGAAGAAGAAGTTAAAACACTTTTAACATGGATCCGAAATTTAGCGTCACTTAATGTTGTTGAGAAAGTTGTGAGAAAGGATTCTGAATATGAAAAGGTTATTGTTGAAGATCAAGAACGTATAGAAATTCTAGAAGTCACTGAAAATGAAATAAGATATCGAGTTATTCACGAGAAAAGAGAGAAAAGAGTTAAACATAATGGAGAGATTAGTGAAACAGAATGGGAATTGATAAGTAGTGAAACTAAAACCAAACCAATTCCAAAACAATATTCCGACACTACAAAAGAAGGGTTTTTGGTTTTATTAGCTCGGGTTGGAGTTAGGGTGTTCGAACTTATTTTAAGTGGGGCTTTTAGTTTAAGCAAGTTCTTGAGCAATATGTTCAATTTATAAACAATTCTCAATTGACTTTTTAAAAGCATTTTTCTTTTTAATAAAAAACATGAGAGATAAATGAACAGATAAATTTTAAGTATGAATAGTAAAGAAAATAGTGAAAATGTTTCAATACTTGTATTCATATTGAAAGATTCAGTTTTTTATTCTAGAGTTGATAAAATGAATAAATTAAAAGTACATCAAGTAGGTTATGACTTCAGTGAAGAGGTGTCATAAATTTGTTTTTACTTTTTCACGAATAATCAACTATTATTTAAAGTGCTAAAAATAACTGGAAATATAGTATTGAATAATATAATTATGAACATTTTATTTTGATTGGCACTAATAAAGAAAACAATGATTATTCTACAAAATACTTTGTATTTCAACTTGTATATATATGAAAATAACAAAAACAAAATGAAATTTTCATAGTTAAAAAAAGAAAATGAAACAGATAACGTATCTGTTGTAAATAGTCAATAACTTATAAATAGGTATATTTCAAATGTTTTGAATTTTTAGCCTCTACTTAATTCAAACAAACATATAAAAGTTTTAATTATGTACAAATATTATGTTAAGTTATCGATAATTTTCTTTCATGTTTTTGAGTAATTTTATTACCCCCATTAAACCGAAAAAAATAGGTTTTAGTGTAAAATTAAATAAAAATAAAACCAATATATAAAAAATGTCAATGTAAAATTTGATAAAATTATTTTATTTTTCGAAATGTTCTATTGCTTTCGGTTAAGTGTAACAGATATGAAGAATATTTTAAGAATACAGAATTGAAATTATTTATTTCAAATGAGCATGAAATTTTTTTAAAAATAAAAATGAATAAGAGTTTTAAACATTATTCTATAAATATACAAATAAGTGTTTGTTGTCATAACCACTATTTAAACAATTGATAACTGAAAAATAAATAATGAGTATTGAAGAGACCAAAAAAACTAAGTTAATAATGATCGGAAATACTGGTGACGGTAAAAGTTCACTTGGTAATTTTATTTTGAAGAAGAAAAGTAATGGCTTTGAAGTTAGTGATGAAGCTAAATCGGTAACACAAAAAACTGAAGGGTCATATGGAGAAGGTGATAGAAGTGATGTATTTGTTATTGATACCCCTGGTCTTCAAGACTCTGGTGGTTTAGATAAAGATAGGCAACATATGAATGAAATGGTAGATTATGTTAAAAAACAAGAAGGGTTACAAGGAATTGTTATTGTTTTAAATTGCACCAATGATAGATTGTCAGCTAACATCAAAGCAATGATTAAATTGTTGTGTACCATTTTTCCAATATCTGATTTCTGGGAACATGTATGCATTGTATGGACTAAGTGTTTTAATTACACACCCCTAAAGAAAATAGAAAAACAAATACAAACCAAGAATGTGAAGTTTCTTCCAGAAGTAATAAAACTAGCTGAAGAAACAACAGGAGATAAAATAGTCAAAATACCTATGTATTTTGTAGATTCTCGTCCAGATGATGATGAGATTGATAACACAAGATCAGAAGATGAAATTGTAATGCTTTTAACATGGGCTCGAAGCTTACCTTCAATTAATGTTGGGAAAGTTATCAAAAATGGATCAGAAAGTGAAAGGGTTATTATTGAAGAAAAAAATGAACATCAAATTATTGAAAGTGATGACGTCAATATAAAGTACAAAATCAACTACATGAGAAGAGAAAAAAGAATTAAAAATGATGGAACTGTTGAGTATAGTGAATGGGAAGTAATAAAAACTAAATACAAAAACAAGCCAATTCCAAAACAGTATTCAAAAAAACCCAAAAAAAGTTTCTTGGATTTTCTTGGAAATGTTGGTGGTGCATTGTTTGAACTTATTATGAACGGTTTTGGAGTTAATAGAATTCTTGGAGCAAATGAAGACCAATCACTAGAAGAATGAAAGTATGCTATAAAAGTATAATTTATACTTTTTTTCACATCAATTATGTTAACGATTCCAGATACTTATAACAATAGAAATTAAACTGGTTATATAAATGAAGGTTTTAATAAATTATTTTGATTATTAAACAGGAATGAAATTCGTAAGTTTACAAACAATCTTTAACCAAGAAATTAAGATTTATAAATTTCATTCAATGTAATACCATTTGCACTGGTGATAGTATTGTAAAACTGTTAAACCATAATAATAAATTGAACCAAATATGAAGTTATATAAAATAAAATATTACAACAAATATAAATAAACAACGTTAATAAATATAATAGAAAATTAAAACATAATTGTAACATAGTTTTCTTTATTATTTTTCATATTTTGAAATAAATAAAATACAATTACATAATGAATTAATGTGTTTAATCATTTATTTGATTGTTTTTATGACATAAATTCAGCCAAACAATTTGTATTATTTTATCCCTTATGTTGATTATTGATTTTATATTAATTGAAAAAAAAATTATGTATCAATCACTATTAAATTATAAACTCAACAATAAATATCAGAGACAAAGAAAAGAAACTAATTTAATACTCACACAACATTCGTGAATTGAATGAGATCTTTTTAAACAATCTTTTTATATTATTATAAAAATATTACCCTTAATATTTTTAAGTTATCGTTTAAACTAACCAGGATTAAGTGATTTTTAATAGTCAAATCATTATATGAATTATTTATTAACCAATAGTTTAATAGAAAAGTTAAAAATGAATTATTAAAACACCAGAATTAAATAATAAATGGTTAATATATTTGATAGGAAAAATAATACCATTAAATTTTATCATTACAACTGTATTAAAAAAATAACTTATGGAATCAATCATTCATATAAGTGTAATGAAAATAAATAAACAAGTGTCGATAATCATATTATTCAATCATAATAAGTTTGATAAAATATGAATATAATAATTAACATGTATAACTTTTGATAAATTAATTGTTAATATCAAAAATAAAGTAGAAATAATGAATGTCATAAATAATGAAATGAGAGATAACAGAAAATTAAACGAATTGAATTATAAATTCAAATAAAATATAGAATGTAATTTTACAGATTTTTTTTCTTAACAAAATTATAAACAAAAATAAAAATAAATAATGTGGAGAAATACAGTCTATATTTAAAAAGTAAACATTAACGCCATAATTAATAACGATAATTGATGAAAAACAATCACCTACTTTTGTTAAGTTCTGAAGAATAATTAATAAACCTAATTATGAATAATCTTAATGTTATTAAATAATATAATCATTAAAAGTACTGTAATGTATTTAATTCTCTCATCAAACAATAACAAATATGTTAATGGTTGATGTAAGTATTACTATTATATAATATGTATACAATATATAATTGTTAAAAATGAAATACATATAATTACAATTAACCAACGTGTTTTTTTTGAAGACAAAAACATTACAGGGGTAATAAAAAGTATTTTATATTTTTGAAAATATGTAGAATTGTATTAATTAAAAAGCAAACAAACCACAAAATAATTCTTGATATTATATTATTGAAATAAAAATATGAAAGTTATTACTCGTAATTGTAAAACTAAAATTGAAAAATAAATGAAACGAATACGAAAATAAAAAGAAATGATGAATTTCATGTCGATAACACCCTATTATACGATAAAAATAAATACAAGTAACATTACAGTATCAATCTTAATGTTATTTTTATGTTTTTATATAATAAAAAAAGTCAAAAAAAAGAGATAAACATCAATGGAATAATATAGAAATAAGAACAATTCTTCATTCATTATTATTAAAACATATGAAATAACTATAAAATATCAATTATGTTTACAATTGAAGATAGAAAACAATATGGGCGTGATATACCAGAAAGATTTTATGGAATAGCTGATGAGTGCTTTGAAAATTGTAGTGAGCTTATGAAAATCAATATTCCAAATAATATTGAATGGATAGGAGAGAATTGTTTTAAAGAATGTACAAGATTAAGGATAATTAATATCCCAACATCAGTCAGTGAGATAGGGAGTGGATGTTTCAGTGGATGTTCATCATTAACAAGTATTGATATACCAACAACAATTAGTAAGATAGAACCAAACTGTTTTTATGAATGTACATCATTAACAACAATTAATATACCAGTAAGTGTTAATGAAATAGGAAGTGGATGTTTTGAATTTTGTTCATCATTGATATCAATCAATATCCCAACATCTGTTAGTAAACTACGAGGTAGTTGTTTTTCAGGATGTATATCATTAACAACAATTAATATACCAACAACAGTTAATAAAATAGGTAAGTGGTGTTTTAATGGATGTTCATCATTAAAATCAATTACTATACCAACAACTATTAGTAAGATAGGATGGAACTGTTTTTATGAATGTTCGTCATTAATAAGTATTGACATTTCAACAAGTGTTAATGAAATAGGAGATAGTTGTTTTTCAGGATGTTCATCATTAACATCAATTAGTCTACCAACAACTATTAGTAAATTAGAAGATAATTTTTTTGAGGATTGTTCATCGTTAACAACAATTAATATACCAACGAGTGTTAATGAAATAGGAAATAATTGTTTTTCAGGATGTGTATCATTAACTGGGTTAATTATTCCAACAAGTGTTAGTAAAATAGGAGATGAATGTTTTTCTGGATGTATATCATTAACATCAATCAGAATACCAACAACAGTTAATGAAATAAAAAATAATTGGTTTAATGAATGTACAGGATTAAAAATTGTTGAATTAACCATTGATGTTGATAAAATACAAAATACTATATTTGAAGGATGTAAAGCATTAATATCAGTTACTATTCCTACAAGTGTTAAAGAATTAAGAGAAGGATGTTTCAAGAATTGTAAAACAATAAAATCAATTACAATACCAACAACAGTTAAAAAAATTGGTGATAAATGTTTTAAAGGATGTTTATTACTAAAAACAGTTGTTATACCAACAACAATTGGTAAATTAGGATATAAATTTTTTAAGGGATGTATATCATTAACTAATGTCAATATTCCAGCGTCAGTTAGTAAAATAGGAGATGAATGTTTTTGTGGATGTACATCACTAGCATCAATTAATATACCAAGATCAGTTATTGAAATAGGATCTAAATGTTTTTGTGGATGTTTTGAGTTAAATATAATTAATATTCCAATATCCATAAGTGAAATAAGAGATAATTGTTTTGAAGGATGTTCATCATTAACAAGTATTGATATACCAGTAACAACTAGTAAAATAGGATATAATTGTTTTGAAGGATGTTCATCATTAATAAGTATTGATATACCAACAAGTGTTATTGAAATAGGAAATGGATGTTTTTATGGATGTATATCATTAACATCAATTAATATACCAACATCAGTTAATGAAATAGGTAGTGGTTGTTTTGAAGGATGTTCATCATTAACTTATATTAATATACCAACAAGTGTTACTGAAATAGGTAGTGAGTGTTTTGAAGGATGTGTATCATTGAAATATATGAATATAGAAAAAGTAAAATATGTAAGTGAAGAAAGAATATTTTTTAATGAACCAGTGTTAAGAAGTATTGAAACACCAAAAAACCTACAAATAGTCAATGGAAAGAATATTGAAAAGAAAGATATTAATCAATTTATTATTCCAGCATCAATTAAAGAATTAGGGAATAAATGTTTCAATTACTGTGAATTATTAGAATCAATCATCATACCAACAACAATAAGTGAAATAGGAGATGAATGTTTTGAAGGATGTTCAATGTTGACATTTGTATATATCCCATCATCAGTTAAGAAAATAGGAAGTTATTGTTTTGCATGTTGTTATGAGTTAACAACCGTAAATATTTTAACATATGATATTGAAATTGGAAATGAATGTTTTTATGAATGTCCAGAGAAGTTAAAAAAGAATAAGGTATTAAGAGAAATTTATTATAAGGATGACTGTGTGATTGTTTAAGTGAAGGAGATAATTTGAATTTAATTTGAATTTTAAAAGATTAAATAAAATTTAAAATAAGAGATAAAATAAACAGAAATAAATGAGTCACAAATATACATAAAGAAAATAGTTATTTAAATGTTAATATATTTATTTTCTATTCTCTCTTGCTCAGGGGAGATTAGTTCAATCAATTTGATTTAAAAATATATTTGTTTATCAAATATTAGCTTATTATTTAGCTTTGATGTTGAAAAGTGAGAATTCCATTTCCTCATACCTTTATTTGTTCTAGAATAATATTTCAGGCATCTCTGAATTAAATATTCATCATTTAAGTTCTCATCTGATTTTAATGAATATTAAAACTCTTCTTATTGACTTTCTTTTTAAGAAGAGTATGTTATTACCACTACATTACTATGATTACTTTTCTTTTTAGCTAAAACCATACAATCAGTTCTTTTTTCT